AAAATTACGAATTTCAGATATAGTCAGAAAAATATCTTTTTATAGTTTAAACCCTAAATATGCTATGTCTCTTGCAGTTATTTAATTTAATTTCATAAAATACTATATTTAAAAAGCCGTAGAAGGTGCAGGACATTTTGGCGACATCTTAAGGACCTTAGGACTTTAAGTGGAACAAAACCAACAGCTACCCGTAGTACCGCAACCTGTTAGGAAGCAGGAACACTGGTATGCCTGCCCAAGATGGGTTACAGGGCAGCAGCCAATCAATAGCAAGGAGCCTGAATAACGCTCTCGGATTGGCTACTTGCAAACCTCCTGACAAAAGAACCCACTGGGGAGGCTCTTTGCGGTTTCTGCGAAAAATGCGCAAACGCCTGAGGCCGCCAACTCCGAACTCCAACCTGGGGGTATGCTGTACTCGTCCTCCCAGGTTCTCAGGAAGCTGAGGCAGGGGCGTTGAAAGTTTGAGCCCATCCTGGGCTGTTTAGCAAGACGCTCTCACAAAATTTTGAAAAGGTCTGAGAGGGGCTGGGATACAGCGCAGTACAACACCCCGGGTTAAGTAGATCCCTCACCTGCTGGCACAGATCCTTCATGCTGCTAGCAAAGACTTTCTAGATAGAACCACTGACCTTTGGGCCTTCGCAGCACAGATCCATGAAACAGGCCTGCGTGAGACGTTGTCGTGGGCTCTGGGCCTCCAGCTGTGCTCACGGGAGGCATTGTTATGGGCTCTAGGTCTTCAGCTGGACTCACGTAGGACATTTCCCTGGGATCCAGGCCTTGACCTTCCGGCCTTGCCGGTGCACATCTGTGAACCAGGCCACATGCAGGACATTACCATGGGATCCAGGCCCTCAGCTGGATTCCTGGTCTTAGTGTGTGGACAGAGTTCCTGCACTCCCTTGTATATGATACTCTGGGTGAGTATTATAAATAATCTTATAAAATATGTGTCCTGTATTATATTGTTTCCCCTTGCAAAACCCCAAACCAACACAATCCCCAACACCACAAAATAAATACAAAATAAATAATAAATAAGTAAAATGTGCTAAATAAACACATTCTCCAACAAATAATCATAGTAGATATTTTCTAAAATGGAACTAAGCTACAGTGACTTTTCCTGTAGCAAAGGACTCTCATACTTCTGTATCAAAAGTACAGGTATTATTCATTTAAGGTTCTTTGAAAATAAGCCTTGTTAAAATAAAAAGCACGCACACACTTTTCCTTCTTTGTGTGCGTCTGTTCTAGACTTGACCTTTGCTAGTGACATTTAGTGTCCTTTGCCTTTTAGCGAGTAGGTTGGAAAACATTTAAATCTATGCAAATATGTTTTAATAACGTCTCCTTTTTCTATTGGGCTATTTAAAACACTGATTTTACAGATGAAATTTGTATGTGTTGTTTTGCACTCTTTCCTCTTCAGACAAGATAGCTAAATTCTCCCAAACTTCAAAATATGGGAAAGTTCAACCGTGCCATGTTCTCTTCCACCTCTATTTCCGATAGATAGATAGATAGATGATGGATAATAGATAACAGATCAATAGATGATAGATGATAGATAACAGGTAGATAGATAGATGATAGATGATAGATAAATAGATGGTAGATAGACAGATGATAGATAACAGATAGATGATAAATGATGGATAATAGATAGATAGATAGATAGATAGATAGATAGATAAATAGATAGGAGATAGAACCACTAAAGTCGATCTATATGTGAGCAACCTGGGGGTATGCTGTACTCGTCCCAAACACTTTCTTTTCCCAAACACATTCCTGTTTCATTTATATTCACAAGTTTTAATGGCTGGAGATGCTGAGGTGATGACATGAGCAGGTCAGTGCCAGTGAAATAAGAATCCACTTAGATCTTCCCAGAGAAGGGGGTGTTATTCAGTGCTGAGGATCAGCCAAGACCCCCCAGCTGCCTGTGAGGGGTGCAGCAAAGTGATGAAAGAAGAGACGGAGACAAATCCAGGGACGCGTAACGGGGGTCAGTGCCTCAGGATGAGCAGAGACAAAGACATTGTGGGCTGGCCACTATTTATAGGGTGTAGACAATTACTGGTGGGATTATCCATTCACTCAGAAGGCGGCGGTGGTCTTATGCTGAGAAGGATCTTATGTTGATGGGGATCGTTTTGTTTTGTTTTTTTTTTTGTCTTTTTGAGACAGGGTCTCCCTATGTGGTTCAGGCTGGCCTTGAGCTCACTTTGTAGCCTGAGCTGGCCTCGAACTCGCAACGATCCTCCTGCCTCAGCCTCCCGAGTGCTGGGATTGCAGGCATGTGCCACCACACCCAGCAATGGGGATCCTTTTCAATGACTCAGAGGTAGCATGATCCCACACTGATATAGTCTTGTCCTGGAACATCACAGAGTCCTGTCATTAAGGCCTCTGTTAAGGGCTTTGGGCCATGGCCTCAGTTTATAATTTGTGGTCCCCAACAATTCAGGGCCATGGGGGAAGCACCAAGTCTGGTCAGGAGGCTGAAGTAGGGGCTGGGGAGCCGGACGGCTGGTGCACACCTGTAATCTCAGCACTCTGGGAGGACAAGGCAGGACGATACTAGATCTGAGTCCAGTCTGAGTAGTTTAGTGACTTAATGAGACCCTATCTCTAAAAACAAAAAGGTCTGGGAATGTAGCTCAGTGTGAAGGCCCAGGGTTAAAGCCCCCATTCGGCTGGGTGTGGTGACACGTGCCTGTAATCTTAGCACTTGGGAGGCTGAAGCAGGAGGATCACTGTGAGTTTGAGGCCAAAATCCCCCACATGCCAAGAAAAGAGAGAGAGAGAGAGAGAGAGAGAGAGAGAGAGAGAAGGAGAGAGAGGGAGAGAGAGGGAGAGAGAGGGAATAAGGAAGGAAAAAAGAAAGGGAAAGAGGGAAAAAAGTAGACCTAAAGGGAAGTCAAGGCCGGAGGCGTGGTGGGTGTGGGCTCTGGCTGTGGGGCTTGCCTGGTATTTGGCCTGGGGTGATCTGGGGCTTGGGAAATGCTGGTATGAGTTCAGTAAGGGGAGGCAGCTGGGGCTGTAGACCTGGGCTGGCTGTTCTACGTATGAAAGACACGCTCTCACCTAAACTCTGCCCCCAAACATTGGCTGCCCAGGGGCAGGCGGAGCCTTAGCAAGTCAGACTTCCAAAACGTTAAAATTTCATAAAGTACAGAAAAACATGTTTTCAGTCCTGGGGACTGAACCCAGGGCCTTCACACTGAGCTACACCCCCAGTCCTTCTGTATTTTTTATTTTGAGACAGGGTCTTGCTAAATTACTCAATTTCCAGGCTGAGCAAGAACTTTCAGTCTTCCTGCCTCAGCCTCCAGAGTCCTGGGATTATAGCTGTGTGCCGCTATGCTCGGCTAATATACAGAGATTTATTTACTTATTTACTTATTTATTTATTATTTATTTTTCTGGTTATGTGAGACAGGGTCTCACTACTCAGTTCAGGCTGGCCTTGAACTCCTTATGTAGCCCAGGATGGCCTTGAACTTCCAGTGATCCTCCTGGGTCAGCCTCCCAAGTGCTGGGATTATAGGCGTGCACCAGAAAATTTTTAAACATATGATTAATATAATTCTATATTAAACTTCATAGGATTATAGTTGCACTACAATAAATCCATAAGAAAAAATAATTAATATAAAACTATGCACTAAAAACTGAAAAAAGCTGTGAGAAAAGGAAGCACTGTAAAGATACCCTCTCTATTAATTTCCCACTCTCTCTGAGATGCGCGTTCTCGTGACCGCTGAGTTGCCAGTTTGAGGTTAATTGCGGTCCTCTTCCCAGTGGTCCCATGCAGTTAGGAACTCTGCGCTTTCAGTGTCGTTCTGTCATGAACAACGGCTAAGTGCTGCAGTTGGGGGACAGCCTTGCACCCAGCTCTTCCTCGCTATCATGTTCCCAAGGGCACAAGACTGCAAGACGGAAAAGGCTTTCACAGCTTGGAACTCAGTATGCTGACAGCACAGTTCCAGGAAAACCCACTCTAAAAACAAAACTCAAAATCATGGTCAAGGGGGCTGGGGATTTAGCTCAGTGGCAAAGCACCTGCCTGGCAAGCACAACATCATGAGTTCGATTCCTGGTACAGGAAGAAAAAAAAAAAAATCATGGTCAATCGAGCCGGGGGTGGTGGTGCATGCCTATAATTCCAGCACTGGGGAGGCTGAGGCAGGAGGATCATTGCAAGTTTGAGACCAGCCTGGGCTACAAAGTGAGCTCAAGGCCAGCCTGAACTGTGTGGCAAGACACTGTTTCAAAAAGACAAAAAAAAAAGAATGCAAAAGTACAGAGCATCGTCCTTTCTACCTCAGGCTTCCAGCCTTTCAAAACCAAGAAGATTTCTCTTTTTTCCTTTTTCTTCCCTTATGTACTGGGGATTGAATCCAGAGAGCACCAAGCTACGTCTCCAGCACTTCATTTCACCATTTCATTTCATTTTTAGACAGAGTCTAAGCTGCCCAAGTTGGCCTTCAACACGGTGATCCTCCTGCCTCAGCCTCCCGAGTAGGGTTGCAGGTGCGTGAAGATCAGCTTTCTCAGTGAGGCCTCTCACATCCGCTGAACCATTCATGCAGTCTCTGTTTATGCGACTTTCATTTATCTGGCAGCCAGGAGGCTGCAGGCACCTGTCGTCGATGTTGGGCTCCTTCTCTCACTGTAATTCCTTTAGAGTCGCTGTGGCGCCACCTACTGGAGGTTATGTCCCATGGCCAATATGGCCCTGGCCACCAGAGGCCATGTGCTAAGCCCACCTTTCTTCATCCGAGTTAAATTAGGACTCTTACTCCCCTTGGTAGTGTCCCGCTTCATTTTCGCACGCTCCCACCCAGTGCTGGCATGCCGCGTCGGCTGGTCCGCCCCTAAGCCCCGCCTCCAGCCTGGCAGTATTTAACCGTTGTTCTCCCAGCCAGCTCCCTCAGAAGATCCACCACCTTCTTCCCCCGCCCGTCTGTGGTCTTCTCTGAGCCCACAATAAAGGCATTTTATTGTTTTATTACTTTCTGCACCGAAGGAAGTCTATCAGTCATCAGGGTCCTCTCAGTTTTCACAATGTGGACGTTTCCAGATTGCTCTGAGAGAGAAAACAAAGGTGGAAAGCTCCCATCAGTCAGGGTGTGAGCGTCAAACGCGGCCTCTCCCACCTCCCGCTCCGGCCCTCGGCCTGGTGGGCCGCGATCTCTGAGATCTCAGTTCCACCCGCAGCGAGGAAAAGCAACTATTACACGTGAAAGATGCCCGCTTGTTTTGAGGAATCCTGGGAGAATAGACCATGAGGAGATCCCTGGACTTGTCCCTGTCAGTCAACAAACCTCGAGCCCTCTGGTGCTGGGTTCGCAGCCTGCACTGCCCAGGACCGCCTCCAATTACCCCACAGCACCTACAGAGGACTGGCTCCCTTGCCGGGTGGGTAGGAAACCCCGCAGATGCCCGGGTCTCTTATGTAAAGAGGCACGGTATATTGCCTACGACCCATATGCATCTTCCCAGAAGATTGATTGATTGATTGATTGATTGATTGATTGATTATTTGTTCTTGTTTGGAGACACGGTCTCACTATTCAACCCAGGCTGGCCTTGAACTTGCAGTGATCCTCCTGCCTCAGCCTCCCAAGTGTTGGGATCACAGGCGTGCGCCACCATGCCCGGCCCTTCCCATATGCTTTACATCATCTCTAGATGTTGTGTGATACTGAATACAACGTAAATTCTGAGTAAAAAATTGTCATATTGTGTGGTTTACAGAATTTTTTTCTGATTATACCAAACTATTTTTTTTTTTGTATCAGGAATTGAACTCAGGACCTTGCTTTTGCCAGGCAGGCACTGTGCCACTGAGCTACATCCCCAGCTATTGGTTTATACGATAATGACAAGGAAAAACAATCTGTGTGTATTTGGTCGATCACTTTTTTTTTCCAGCACTAGAGACTGAACCTGGGGCCTTCTCGCTGAGCTGCGTCCCCAGCCCTTTTTGTTTTTTTATTTAGAGACAGGGTCTCACTAAGTTGCTAGGTTGCCCCGGCTGGACTCAAGCCTTCCATCCTGCTACCCCAGACCCCGCAGTGCCGGGATCACAGGCCTGCGCCACCACGCCCTGTGTGGGTTTTTGTTGCTGTTTTTCAAATACTTCCCATCCGTGGCTGGTCGAATCACCAGGTGCAGAAACTGCAGGAGGGAACTGTGGAGAAGGACATTCTTTGATTAGAAAGCGCTGAGGACACACAATGATTTGTTTATTGTTGCAAAAATGAACTGAAATCTTTCACCTGAACATAAGAGTGTATTTGGGTTTTTTTGTTTGTTTGTGTGTCTTTTTTTTTTTTTTGGTTTTTCTCCGGTACCGGGAACCGAACTCACGACCTTGCGCTTGCCAGGCAGGCGCTTTGCCGCTGAGCTAAATCCCCAGCCCCGTTTGTTTGTCTTTTTGATACAGGGTCTCACTATGCAGTTCAGGCTGGCCTTGAGCTCACTTTGTAGCCCAGACTGGGCTACAACGATCTCGCAACGATCCTCCTGCCTCAGCCTCCCGAGTGCTGGGATTACAGGCATGAGCCACCATGCCCAGCTAAGAGTGTATTTGAATTGCGGGAGATCCCTTTTTTCAGTCTTGTCACGCATTGTAAAAATTAATGGGAAGTAAGGACTGTGATGGTAGTGGATTGATAACTGGTGGCCAACTTATAACCCCCAGCTGAGCTGAGTGAGCCTGGTGCTGGGTGTGGGAGGCCCACCGGGGGATTGTTGCCAACAGCAATAGAGGCAGAATTGGAGGATTACCCTTTAATTACTAAAACGTTTGGTGTCCGTCCATTGGTACTAGCTACGCCCTTGGTTCTCGCTCATTAAAAGGTGACTGGGATTGGTAATCGGGCTGCAGTCCGAGAGGCTGTGAGCCCCTGACCCCAGACTTTTGCCTCTCTTGTTTTTCTTGTCTCCCTTACTTTTCTGTTCATCCGCGGGCTCCTCCTTCTCGGGACCTGACACCCTGGACAGAACGACAGGGAACAGGGTTCTGCGTAGAGCTCCTCCTTCCCACAGGCGACTGCAGCACAGCTGGAGGGCGACGCGCTCCACCCGCACAGCCCTGGCACGGCGCTTTGCTGCGCGCTGTGTACGCAGCGGCACGGTGGGGATGATCGCTCCTGGGCAACCGCGCAGCACTTCCGGTTCCGCGGGCACCTCGCAGGCTGGGGTCATCACCCCCTGGAGTTCCCGGACTGTACCCCTCGCACTGGCCCACGTTTAAGCCTCCGAGTGTCATGGAACGGATGAATTGTCTTTTCCTAACGTGCCGTTAACTTTCCCGCACTCACGACGTTCGCTCTGTCAGCACAGCGTTTCGTTTCTTCAGTGCTTGTCAAAGTCCTACTGGATTAGCTGGACGTGGTGGCGCGCGCCTGTAACCCCAGCACTCGTGAGGCTGAGCCAGGAGAATGCTGAGGTGAAGACCAGCCTGGGCTACAAAGTGAGCTCAAAGACAGCCTGAACTGCATAGCGAGACCCTGTCTCAAAAAGACCAAAAAAAAAAAAACCAAAAAATTCTACTGGATGGGCTGGGTGGGGTGGTGGTCACCTGCAATCCCAGCACCCTGAGAGGCTGAGGCGGGAGGCCTGCAAGGTGAAGCCCAGCCTGGGTCATTCAGTTTAGTAAGGCTGTCTTTCAAAATAAAAAATAAAAAAGAGCTGGGGATGTAGGTCAGTGTGAAAGCCCTGGATTTAATCCCCAGTAATAGGGGTGGGCAACCAAAAACTACTACCTTTTCCGGGTCCCACTGGAGGTCCAATATGACCTCCTCTGGAAACCAGCTGTGGCAGCCCCACTCCTGCCAGGGGCAGAGCTAACCAGGTCCCCCTACCCAAGTTTCTGAGATAGGGTCTCACCGTGTAGGTCCGGCTGTCCTCAAACTCACGACCCTCCTGCCTCAGCCCCTCACTGCTGGAACTACAGGCTGTGTCACAAGCCTTAGTTTGCTTTGCTTTGTTTCTCGGCTTTTTTTTGGAAACAGGATCTTGCTAGTGATACAGGAAAATAGAAACTCCCAACCTGAGCAATATCTGGGCCGAGTTCCTGTTCTCTACAATCAAAGAATGAATTTTAGGAGCAGCGGAGGTTAAGAGCAGAGCATATTTATTGAGGGAAAGAAAGCTTCTGTCTGAGAGGGCCAGAAGGAGGGCCTGAGTAGGTTGCCCAAGACTCTGTCTTTTCTAGGGAACTTTATAGAGCAACACCTCGAGGAGAGGAGGGTCCAAGGTAGCGGAAAATGCACAAAGCTATGGTCAGACATTAAGAATCGTTCAGGTAAAATTGATCAAATCGGGATCAAATGGGGAAGCGAGTCACGTAGCAAGCGGGCATGGATACAGAACAGGGGCTTTTCCTGTAGGGGCTTGGGTCAGGGACTCTTCAAGGTGACGGCTGACGGGTGTGTGGGTGCATTTGTTTAGACCTTTGTCTTGAGGTCTGCTCCACAGCAAATACATATCCTGTCTTTCATGTCGGCTCCTTCGAGGGCCTGGCCCTGTCTGACTGCCTATAATATTTCTATCTAACTCAGCTGCTATAACACTGTGTAGCCCAGGTTGACCTAAAACTCATGGCGATCTTCCTGCCTCGGCCTCCCAAGTGCTGGGATTACGGGCATGCACCTCCCTGCCCAGCTAGAGCCAGTCTTAATAAAGCTCTGTAACTCTGACCACAGAAGAATGTGGCAGTTTTTACTTTACAAATGTGAGGAAGAAGTGAAACAGAGCCCGTAATCCCAGCACTCTAGAAGGCTAAGTCTGGAGGCTCACATATTCGACCCCAGCCTTGGCAAGTTTAGCAACTTTCCCAGAACCTGCCTTAACTTAGAGAGCACAGCGGGGAGGGAAGGAAAGAAGGAAGCACAAGCTGACATGCAGCTCAGTGCAAAGGCCCTGGGTTCAGTTCCCAGTACTGGGGGGAAAAAAAGTGATAAAGCGGTCCAGACCTCTGAACTGCAGGAGGCAGCAGGCTCAGAGCTTCTCTCTTCACCCTTTAATCTCCAGGATTCTCTCCTACAGGAGAAAGCCTTTAACCTCTCACAAATTCTGTGAAAGGAAAAGTAGATTATCCTGGATACACTCCTAGCTCTTTAAATTGGCTAATATAAAGGCTTTGCATCCAATCCCATAACCTCACTTGAAACCCCGTCTGATATGTTCAGTATTTTCCACTTCCCAGGCTGGGTTCAAACTTTCGGTCCTCCTGCCTCAGCCTCCCAGAGTACTGGGATTACAGGTGCGTGCTCGCACCCCCAGCCCTTCGGCCTCCGGAACAATCCAGCTGTGCGGTAGCACTTACTCCCATTCTCTGAAAGGGAAACATTCTGCACTTGTAGCTGCTAGTCTGTAGCTTCTTTGTCTGTATAACGAGCACCTAACATGCAGTGTGTCTGTGTAAGGGTGTATTTGGAAGAATAGTCCGTCCTGCAGAGAAGACACAACACTGGGACAGACGAAAGTCACCACATGGGCTGAGCAGAGGCAGTAAACAAGTTAGTTACCCATGGTGGTTGAGGGGCGGGGCCTTGGGTGTGAACACAGAAGAGCGCGTGAAGACTAATCCCCCGGTGTCTGATGTTTTGGGGAACACTCTGTAGACATCACCCACGTCCATTTGTTCACAGGTTTTGTTCACTTCTGATATTCCCTCGCTGATGTTTTGTCTCATTGATCTGTCTGTTGGTGACAGTGGGTTGCAGAGATACCCCGATACAGTTGTGTTAGTGCTTATCTGATTTTTCTTTCTTTTTTCTTGTTGGTCTACTTTCCGTTTCTGGCCAGGGTGACAGGTCCCAAAAGCGAGGTGCCGCGGAGGAGAAGAAAAGCCAAAGAAAAAAGAAAAACAAGAGAGGCATAGTTCTGGGATCGGGGGCTAGCAGCCTCTGGAGCTGAAGCCCTGATCACCACTTTCAGTAACCTTTTATTGAGCAAGAACAAAGGGAGCAGGGCAAATGGGAGGACATCAACAGGTTTAGCAAGGACCGCACAACTCAGTTATCACAGGAATGAGACTTGACCTAGTTAGCCATCACGTTATCTTCCTTCGGGCACATCTCAGCAAAGCATCTAGCGTTGTCCCGGGCTTTCCCAGGGACACAGGTGCTGCAGTCTTTTCCTTTCCACCAGTGCTTTTGCTAGCCTTCCTCCCGAACCAGTCACAGGGCTTGATCAGGCCTGAGGAAATACACTGAAAGAGTAACTAAAGAATGTCCTTCACATTTTTTTTTTCTTTTGGTCTTTTTGGGACGGGGTCTCACTATGCAGTTCAGGCTGGCCTGGAGCTCACTTTGTAGCCCAGGCTGGTCTCGAACTCACAACGATCCTCCTGCCTCAGCCTCCCAAGTGCTGGAGTACAGGTGTGCGCCACCACGCCCATCTCAGTTTGCTTGGTGTTTCGTGTAGATGTCTCTGTTCAGCCCCCAGCGGTGACACTGCCAACCCCCAGCTCGTCCTCTGCCGGACAGCACAGAAGACAGTGGCACGTGGCAGGCAGCTGCCTGGGTCAAGCAGTGGTCATGATACCAGAAAATAAAACTCCCGACCTGAATGACGTCTGGGAGGAGTTCGTGTTCTCTAAAATCGAAGGATGAATTTTAGGAACGGAGGTTCAGAGCAGAGTATATTTATTGAGGGAAAGAAAGCTTCTGTCCGAGAGAGGAACAGAATGGGGTGCGAGTGGGTTGCCTAAGGACTTTGCCCTTCGCAGGGACTTTATAGAGCAAAACCCTGAGGTGAGGCGGGTCCAAGACAGGGGGAAAATGGGAATTACGAGGTGGGCATGAGGTGGGACAAAACCATGGTGAGCCGATAAGATTACAAGTATATTGTTCAGGTAAAATTGATTAAATTGGGATCAAATGGGGAAGCAAGTCACCTAGTAAGCGGGTATGAATATAGAACAGGGGCTTTTCCTGTAGGGGGTTGGGCTAGCGACTCTTTCTGGCTTTTGGAAGGTGGTTGTCACTTATTTAGAATACCAATCCCTTATGTTCGTACCTAGGGAGGTGTGCGGGTGCATTCATTTAGTCCTTTTGTCTTGAGGTCTGGCCCACAGGTGTCCTATCTTGTCTTTCAGGTTGGCTCCTTCCAGGGCCTGGCCCTGTCTGACTGCCTGTAATATTTCTATCTGACTCAGCTGCCTATAACAACTTGACTGAAGCCAGGCGTGGTGGCGCAGGCCTGTAATCCCAGCACTCAGGACGCTGAGGCA